AAAGCGGAAATGCAAGTGCATCGAGTTCATTGGGAAATAATAAGTGCCACACATTGACACTAATCGTCTGCTCCTCAAACCAGGACACCATGTGGTATGAGGCAATACGCACCGAACATCTGTAGGCAGAACCCAAAATAACCATACCCTAATTAATTTAGAAAAATTCGTTCCCTAAATTTAACTCGATCGTGAATCGAAACCGGGACGTCATTACGTAAAGATAAAAAAGAATAGATTGTAGTTCTTCTGAAACGTTAATATTAAATCAAGGACAAAATATAGCATGCAAACCAATGCAAATAGAAAAAAAAAATGATAAAAATAATACCTATAAATTCAACCCAAGAACTAACAGTTTACTTACTTTATGATAGAATAACTATCATAAATTGTAACAAATGAGAGTTAACTACGGCCTCCTTTAGGATGAGTTATGCAACGGTTAAAGCTTTAGATATTGGGAAAGGAACGTTCGGGGAAAAGAGGGTCGCTGAGATTTAGACTGTCGTCAATTCTGCAAATCATTCGATATCGCTTTCCCTGGAACATGTATATGAAATAGCCGCTGAGATCATACATACATATCTGTCACGCCTGTTTCCCATTAAGGTAGGCAGAAACAATGGAACGCCAAATGCTTCGATTCAAACAAACCTCCGCTGAGATCAATGTTTTATATATGAGTACATAAAGTAAATAATTTACTAGCAGTTTAGTTTTTTTTTTAATCCATGGAACACTTGATGTGCAACTGTGATTCGTTAGCGAGCATGCGCATGAGTTTACTGGGAACTGCTCATCCAGAGCCAAGGACTACAAATATCTTAAACCGCGGTATATCGTTAAGGTAACACGTAGAATCTATGAAATGATGGTATAAGGCAGGGGGAAGCACAAAAGATACCGATGGATCGACGTGCAACGGCTTAGCTGACCCCATATGCGAATATAAGATACTAGCAGTTTCAATTGTTTAAAAAATAAAGCGTATGTGGTAACACAGCAACGTTTGAATTCCTTGACAAATTGTAAAGAAAATTAAAGTTAACCGACTTCAAATAAAGTTGCTGTGTGGTACTGGCATAGAATGGGCCTCCTCTTCCTTTCCCATGGGTGTGGTCAGAGGAGAATAAAGGAAGGGAATGGGGGGATGGGCGGCAGCGTGCCTTTTAAAACATCATCTAAGCATAGCTGCGGTTGCCAACCATGCATGCTTGCCTGCTGCCTGCCTGCATCCATGGCAAGCATAACAACTATTTGCCATTTTAATTGACTTCAAAAAGAACAAGTTCTTTTATCCCACTGTATTTTCGTTTTAAAAGGATTTACTTTTAAGTTGCTCTCACATACAAACATATGTATGGAATATCGAAGTCTTAAATTTTTCGATACAATTACATCTTTTATTTATTTATTTATTTATAAAACTTAGAATGGCAAACAAGCTGACGGCCCACCTAATGGGAAGTGGTAACCGTCGCCTATAGACATGAACAGTGCCATGGACATAACAGAGTATACTGTTTCGCCCATGATACCCCCCATGCGTTGCCATTCCTGAGGACTCAGGTGTTATTCCTCTGTACCCAGTAAATTCACATCTATGTAACAATAGTCACAACTGGTTGCTGCAGTAGACAAATCCTCTGTCCTTTTGAATTATAAAAACACCTTCGACGAAATGTGAATTTTACCATAACCGCGATAGTCGATAATCACCTCTGACTAGGCCGTTGGTGATTACAGACATGTTACATGATATTTTTAAATTCAATGTAACAATGAAACAAATTATAAATATAAAGATTGTAATAACTGATACGGTAGTCTAAGGAATTATGTGCCTCGCCGCAACATTGTCATTTGTGATGTCATTTAAGAACAAATCAAAATGGCCGTTAATTAGCATTCATTGCGCGACCAGTGCGCAATCGTTGCGCGCGCGCATTTCCTTGTCACAATCACAGCTTATTACCTATCTCAGCTCCATGACTTCTCTTGATAATTTTATTACCATGTAACAATTAAAATTAATTTATATTTTTACAACTGTAATAACAGATAAGCCATGTACATAACAAATATGTGTGCCCCAGCATAGAATGGATCACCCCTTCCTTTCCCGTGGGTGCCGTAAGAGGCGACTAAGGAAGGGCGAGGAATGGGCAGCAGCGTCCCTTTTAAAACATCCCTAAAAACCTAACTGTGGTTGCCAACCCGGCTGCCAAGCATAGCAACTACTGGCAAAACTCCCCTTATGGAGAAGACTTATGTCCAGCAGTGGACAGTTAATGGCCGAAGTAATAATAAAAAAATAACAGATAGGGTAGATAATCGTTGTTTTATTTTTAAATAATTAATTTTGATAAAAAGGCAAGTCAATAGTTCATGTACTAAATGTACTAAGTAACGAAATACAATATTCGTTTGCGTAAAATAAATTTAAATCTAATTTTAGCACTTTTCACACAACTGTCCAAAAAAGAGTATATTATTTTAGGGGTTTCTGCGTATTGTATGAGTTTATTCCCTCATAACTCCTAAACGCCTGGACAGATTTGAATATATGGGGTATAGTCAGAATCCTCGATCATCTTCGATCGACACCGCGCTATATTTTTTTTTAAATATACTATTTTAGCAGCGCATTCCTGTTTAATTTGTAGTTTAAAATATACTTATTAATACTTAACAGTATCTATGTTATAGTATAAAATCATAACATTCTGATATCTTAAAAACATCACAGTAAATACATTTAATTCCTCTGATAGATGTTATACAATGGTTACTATCTATGATAAGATTATGTCGTAATATAAATGAATTAAATATTATTAAAATTAATTCTTTAATTTTCGCAATAAAAATGACGTCGCAAGACGAGAGCGACGCGCAGTTGGCCTGGTAGTCGACTAATAAATAACTAATCAAATTAGACAGGTGGAAAACAAATATTCACCAGAGGGAGACTTTGTACAAAAGTCGATTGCTTGGGCACCTCTGTTCCATTCGTATTTCTACCGTGAAGCAGTTGTGGTTGCATGGCTGTGCTTCAGTTTGAACGGTGGGATATGGCGTGAATTTACAGGGTACAGAGGAATAACATCTGAGTCCTCAGGAATGGCAACGCATGCACCCCGCATCATGGGCGAAACAATATACTTTGTTATGTCCACGGTACTGCTCATATCTATAGGCGACGGTTACCACTTTCCATCAGGTAGGCCGTCAGCTTGTTTGCCATTCTAAGTTGTATAAAAAAAAAACATTAAGGATTACTTATACAGATTTAGTTTATCGTTGAAACTGAAAACGCTTGTCTAACGACTATGTAAAGAAACACCCCGTGGCTTACGTTAAAGCGAAAAGGTCGGAACATTTTTTGTATACCGCACTCATACGGTTTACAAATAACGTTAAAGCGTGGGCGTTCAGGAAAACCGATATTTGGCTTTGTTTTTTTTTTATTAAATTGATATACAAGATGTTCTAAAGAATTTTTAAAATAATAATAGGTATGAAATCGAGATCGTTAGCAACCTTTAAAGGGAGTGTAACTAAAAATTTTTGACAATGAAAAATTGTTCGAGAAACGAGAAAAATGTCGAACCTCCACGGTGCGTACAGCTGATAAATAAGGGAGCCTCCTTAATTTTTAGTTTTTTAATATTTGGTTTATGAAATTTTTATCCTAATATATTACATAGGAGGAGTGACCAACCGGTCGATCGCGACTATTATAGTCCAGTCGATAGTGGCAAGGCAAACATTTGCTATATTTTGCTAATCTAGCAGTAGAGGCTCAGACGCAATGCTCACACTAATATAAATAAGTAGTTACTAAGAAATATTCAATTTTATGTTTTCTCTCTTAAAAAAATACTACAATACTACATAATTGTGTACTGAACTATGTTGTTTCATTTGTGATTTCAAGATGTATGCAATTGGTAGATCGCACAGGGTTCTGTTAGTAAATGGTAGATCTTGGAACTAATGAAGTCTTCCACTACTGTCTGCGATGTCAAAGGCATTACTCCCGCATAGCCAACTCACCACAGGCTATTTTAATATATTATATAATCAGTTTAAACTTAAAATCTGAATAAGAATTTTAGTACGTAACGCATGCTCACCAAAAGTTTTTGTAAACTTACAGACCGCTGTTCCACAGGAACAAATTCCTTTTCGATCTAAATCAAAGAAACTTTTTCTAATAAAGACAAGATCAGTCTGGTCTTCATCGCAAAATTTTCTTTTATAAATCTTTCTTTAAGGATATCACTGTCATACCAAAAACTAATATAATATATCTAATTATATATATATATATATATATATATATATATATATATATATATATATATATATTTTTACAGCAAAACATTTTTTTATACAACTTACAATTGTAAACAAGTTAACGACTCAACTGATGGAAAGTAGTAACCATTGCCTATAAACATGAACAGCACCATGGACATAACAGAGTATATTGTGTCGCTCATGATGTCCCCCATGCGTTGCCATTCCTGAGGACTAAGGTGTTATGCATTTGTATCTAGTAAATTCATTTCCATAACCCACTCTACAAATCTAAACACAACCATGCAAACGCAACTGTTTCAAGGCAGAAATACTAATGGGACAGAGGCACCAAAATAGTCGAGTTTTGTACAAAGTCTCCCTATGGTTAATACATCGACAACATTGAAAAACAGCTTTAACTGAACGAGTCAAGAGTACAAATATCTGCGACCGAAGCACTAATGAAATGCGGCAATGAATGGTACATTTAACGTAATATGCAATTTAGATAGCGGCCGGACGGGACGACAGAACTTGTTCGTGCCTGGTCCTTCTAAACAATCTGTTCAATCGAGATTACGCAGCCGTTGAGAGGCCGCACTTCATAGTTATTATCCAGAAACAAACAACAAGTTAAACAAAGAAGCTGCGAAGTGTTACAATGATTATACAAAACTTTGAACTTACGGAATTACCTGCGCCTAGAGATGGGCAATCCACCTGGGTGGGTTTAAAGTCTGGTGGGTAAAAACCGGGTGTTTTGGGTTTATTGGGTTTAAACCCCATAAACACCCAAATTTTTGGGTGTTTATGATTTTGTACTTCATCATCGTCATCTCAGCCGCAAGACGTCCACTATACTGGACATAGACAATATTATTATGCAGCCTACAGAATAAAAAACTTTTAATTTGATTTTGAGTTTATTAAGAAAGAGATGAAAGTAAAATGTAAAACTACAGTCAATCACTGTCAGATTCAGAGTTATTACAAGCGATGAATTGTATAGGTTCGATAGGCTCTATTTCGTCTAAACTGTTATGTTCATTTACTTGCTCAATGAAAGCTTCTAAGGTATTTTCTTCATTAAACTGAATGTCCTCGCATTCAGCTTTATGTTTAAGATTCCAGTTATAACAAATGAATGAAATTTTTTCAGTTCTTTCAGTTGTAAGTCGATTTCTTTTGTTATTATGTATGTAGCCTTGGATACTAAAGGAACGCTCAGTGGCTGCCGAAGTACAGGGAGCTGATAGAATACGAATCGCTACTTTGCTTAACTCAGTGGAACCACAAATACCTTTCCACCATATTAGGGGCTCAATGCTATCTAATGAGCTCCATACAAATCCTCTGGCCCAAAAGTTTTCTTTAGCTTTATAACACGCCAAATCTGCCATTACATTTGACAAACTTAAGTGTTGGCTTAAATTGTAGATAAACTCCATACCCTTAAGTTCTTCCTCTTGAGTAAGTTCGACTCCTAGAGTCCTGGGGTCTAGAATATATGCTGCAAAATGTATTGGCCTCATTGCCATATTGCATCTTGAAGATACTGATGTTAGAATCTGCTGTTTGCTTTCTTCGCTCAATGTCGAAATCTCATTTAATGCAAAACGTATCTTAGCTTGTACATCTCTAAATGTAATGTATGTGCGATGCAAACGATTCTGGTCGCTCTCTAAGTAAAATATGCTTTCAGTGACTGGTTCCAAAATACTTATACATTCCCCTGTCTTCGTCCAGAAATCATCACTTAGAATTAAATCTTTAATATCTCTTGAAATTACTACATCTTCTCTAACTGTTAATATTTGCAAAGCTATCTTATTTGCTTTCAAACTTTTTAACGAAGTAACATGACTTCCCCATCTTGTAGCACAAGGCAATTTTAGTGTTTGTGTAGAATCTTCACCCTGCCTTGATTTTATCAACAAGGAACTTAATCGTTGACTCCTTTTAACAGTTTTTATTATATTTATGGCTTGCATAATAAACACAGTTACTTCTTGTATCTTTACAATATCTTGGCACAACAAGTTAAGGATATGTGCACAGCAACCGAGAGGAACAACATGTGGATATTTGAGTTTTGTTAATTCGAATGCCTTTTGTATATTTCTAGCGTTATCGCCAATAAGTACAAGAAACTTATTTGCTCCATACACTTTCATTACTTTTTCAACTTCTTGGCTAAGGTATTCACTAGTGTGAGGATTACTTTCTGTATTCAAACTTTTAACGTATGCAGGTTGAGGTTTTGATATAAGAAAGTTTATTATTCCTTCATTTCTTAAATTAGACCAGCCATCGCACTGAAGGTGTAAGTAACTACAAGCATTTAGTTCCTCATTTAACTCAAAACGCATTTCTCTATATATTTTATCTAAGTATTTTGTCGCTAAAGCTTTACGTGAAGGTATTTTAAATTTTGGTTGCAATTTTTCGAAAAATTGTATCCATAAAGGATGTTGCACCATCGATAATGGCGTCCCTGTTACAAATATAGCTCTCGCTAATTCTGTTTTTATATGATCATCGGTGTCTTGAAACTCAGCATTTATTGTAGTGTTAGCAGACGACGAGGGGCTTATAAAAGAATCATTTGTCTCTATCTCTGACAGTCCAGACATTTTGGTTTTGGACGAGCTATCTTTTATAAGTTTCATAGAGTCTTTTAATGTTTCTGGAGATTTTGGACAAGTGATAAGATGTTGAAGCATTTTGGCAGCATTACTGAATTTGTAGACCTTATTACAAAGCTTGCAAGAAACAGACTTGTTTGGTAAAGTACGGTAGTGCTCCCATATGCGTAAATCTTTAGGTCTCCCCATTGAACCTAAAAAAATGAACGATGATTAGTTGGTCTGACGAAAATTCAACAATAGAGTGCCTATTTTTTTACAATGATTATTTCTTGTTATTTACAATAAATTTATTAAAAAAATAATAAAATAAATACAAAAAACCTTTGTAAAATTACATCTCCTCGGAGGATTAAACGCAGACGCTAGTTTATTATCGTATTGTTCTGTATTTTTCTCAGCAACTTCTTTAATTCGATTAGGTACTTACGCATATTATGTTAAAAATAAATATCTAGTACACATCTTAGGCTATCCACCATTATTATCCAATGACGACTCTCAGCTAACTATGCACTATCATCCAAAATAAACGTGTATGGAAAATTTTATCCCAGTCGGTTGAGGATTGAGGATAATTGCATCAACATACGAACATACCTACATACTTTTATTTACATAACGCAAGCTAAATAAAAGCTTGTAATAATACATCTAATTTTAAGTTAAAATTGTTAAGTGATCATGATATAATTGTATCATTCAAAAATCCACTTACCTTTAATTATTTCTTGTTAAGTATAAATATTATTTCAAATCTGCTCCCTTAATATGCACTTTTTTACTGCTTTTCCTACCTAACACGTTACCAGGAAGTCACGTTACCAGAGTCAGAGTAATAGTGAACACGTTTGACAGTGATTGTCGTCGCCTCATATTCAGCGTCGACGAATAGGGGAATCCCCAGTCATAATGTATTGCATGCGTGGCGGTCTTACTTCAAATCCATAAACAAAGAGATAATTACAGAACTCGATACTAGATGGCGCTGTTTTTGTTTGAAGAAAGTTTGCGGGCTAAAATACATAGAATTTCATCAATGACTTCCACAAAGAACAACATTTCTGTTTTTTCTAAGTCCGTATCTCTTCCGTATATTTCATAAGATATAAGCTTGGGCTACATTGTTATGCAACGTGATTTTGTCGCTGTCTTGCTAGCAGGGTTGACAGATATACGATTTAAATCGTACTCATACTATTATTTGTCTATTTTTTAATGTACGATCGTAAAGATTATGATCGTAATTCGCACAAAAACATACGACTTTTTGGTTACCTGGCAACATTTTTATTATGAAACGAACATGCTCACATCATCAGTCACATGCAACAATTTATTGGGGATTTCCCCTTCACATCTGGCAGTCCTGCTTGCTAGAATATAGGTAAGTCAGCCACAGTTACTGACGATCGATATTTAAAGGGTATTGTTTTTGTGCTAAATATTTCATAAAAACGTTATTTAATACTTTGTGGATTATTAATTTAGTTGATAATCACTGGAAGTAAAATGGATGCTAATTTGAGAGATCAAGATCTTCGTATAAAACAGTTAATAAAAGAAAATCTACGTAAGTACTCTTTTTATACCTAGGTAGGTAAGGTATAATAAACACAAAAGGTACTTAGATCGCGTGTGTTCGAAGCATTTATTCTAATAAATTTAATTTAAAATTGTAGAAAGAAAAAAATGTCTGCCAAGCCGTAGCCGAAGCCGATCTCCAAATATATTTGGCGATAGTGAGACCCAGTGTCCAGATGATTTACCCAGCGTCGTCGCAACAAAGAAAAAAACGAGGATAAAGTAAAAGAAAATTTACTGAAAGAAGAAACAAACTGTTCTAAATGCTTAATTTATGGAGAAGAGGATAAAAGAAATGAGTATTTCGGACTGTTAGTGGCTCAAGAATTTAAATATATACGGCCATGTGTGCGAACGAGGTGTTATGAAGACATTTTAAAGTATCTACGGGAAGCAAAAGGCCAACATGTTAATCAACTGCAACATGAAAACACTGAAAATTAATTACTTTCATTTTATTATATATAGATTTTTAAAATTTCCTGAAATATTATTAGTTAACGTTTTATTTAATATTGTAGAATTGATCAATACAATTTATAAAAATAATTTATTGGTATTACTTACATATTTTCAAAAAAATACGTAAAAACCTATTTTTTTGGGTGATTATGGGAGTTTATGGGTGTTTATTGGGTTTTTACCAAAGCACCGGGTTTAAACCCGGTGCTTTGCCCATCTGTACCTGCGCCACTTGGAATAATGGAATACGCCTCCAGAGATCGACATAGATTAATTATGGAATGGGAAAATGTAATAAAACAATATTTGGCCTAATCTATAACCAGAGGGAGATTTTGTATAAGAGTTGTTTACTTGGGTTCCACTATCCAATTTGTAGTTCTGCTGTGAAATAGATTTGGTTACATCGCTGTTTCAGTTTGAAAGGTGTGACATGGTAAGGACATTACAAGGTACGGAGGCATAGTTCTATCATTTCATAGTCCAGAAGAATAGCAATGTATAAACGCATATGAACATCACAACATTTCTACCTAGACAAGTATAGCGGTGCTTAGTTTGGAACTAATCGACGACGGTGTAAATATGTACTAGAATATTTCTTATTATTATTATTTATTTAAGCAGCCGTGTACCGCGTTATCAGTAGAGGAGTGACACGCGATATCAGTAAATTGGTTTGTAATAGTTACATACACCTTATCGCGTGGTATCATTACGCCCGGTTTGAGTGGAGACGAGCGGTATTTGATAGTCACATTGATTTATTTATAATTATATGTCCAATAATATTCATGGGCCAAATATTTGCAACTAGTCATTTGCCGCGCCTTTGACCGCGTAAATCAATATATAAGTATTCTATGTGTAAAGTTTTTTTTCATGGATGATAATGGTGACCCCGCCCGCGCTATTGGTATACACTGGCAAGACACCAGTGAGGGATGATAGAATGAGGTATGAAAGCAGGCCGGTTAGCCCACGTGACGAATGCAAGAATATTAATCATAATGGTTTCCTGGGGGAATTCCCTGGAGTTCAACCTGACAGGGCTTGCTCATTAATCCACATTACTAACAATACCTCTCCTCCCCCTATGTATAAAGTTAGAATATCTAATAAGGGTACAGAGTGTATTAAGATTTCTTCCGGGTTAGGAACGCGCACGTGACACCCCTAGTGTATGTACCCAACCAGGTTGGCCTCCACGCTGTTCTCCCTGGAATGATGGGCTAACTGGCCTGTTGTCATTCTCATCCATCACCCTTCACTGGTGCCCCACCAAACTATAACGTTAGCGCAGGCGGCGTTACCATTCCATATTCATCCATAAAAAAAGACACCCCTAGTGTTACAAGCGTCCATATGCTAACCGTTTACCATCATCACCGACTGTATGCTTTGTGGTATATTAATTAAGTCTTTACTAATTGTATGATCGTTACCACTAGTATAGTATTTTGTTATCTGTACCTTAGTATATATAAAATCACTTAACTGTAAGAAGCTTATACCTACTCACTTATAGCATTGCACCTATTCTGTTTAATTATTGTGAACATATTGTTGGTGTACCTTATAAAAACAAACAAATAAATAAATAAAAATATAAATATGAAAGCGAGTTTGTTTGTTACGTGTTAGTGCACTAACGACTTAAAAAATTACTATGAAATTTGGTATACCTATACGTATACTAGTACGCGGGATGAAGAAGGCTTTAGGTTACTTTTTATACCGGTTAGTTAGTATATCCTGTTCACAGAGACAAAGTTGCGTGTAAAAGTAACCTAATAAATAATCTATCCATGTAGCAAACTTCATTCGAACCCGTTAACCCAAGCGTGTTTGAGTTTCAAACATTCATAGATCTTTAAAAACTTTCACATTTACTTTTTTAGTAGCATAAATATAAAAATGCATTTTACTCGTGAGCATCTTTCAAAGGTCGTCAACACATTTTTTTTGTGTGTGCATATTTATTTATATAATACACTTTATTGCACCATTTATAAAATAGTAAATACATTTAACTGTAATAAGAAATGGTACAAAAGGCGGCCTTATCGCTAAGCAATCTCTTCCAGACAACCTTTGGGTAGAGAACATTGAGAAAAGAAAGAAAAGCAAAGGGTAGGTGGGTGCATATTAAATATCATTGCCAATGACGTTCGAGTTATCAATAATAAATGTAATTGTTTAATTAGCTGACTTGGCAATGGTCGAAATTCAACCATAATATATATTGTAATAAATAAATTTATTATGGTTACCGTCGTTTCACACTATGCTTGTACAGGATCACCATCCGAGAATCTCTCTTCTCCATCGGTTATCGATTGCTTAAGCAATATGACCGGCCCATTGTCTTTTCAGCTTACAGATTTTTCGATTCGATTCGAGAGATGACTAATTATTGTGTGAATTTCCACAATCCGAATTCTATAACGCAGTGAACTCCGAGCATAGCCCTCTCCATACCTCCAACATCCTCTCATGGTTAACAGTGCGCGAGCACGTTTCAATCCAATAAATTTACAAACAAACCTATTTATAACTTTGCAAAGTCGAGGGTGCAACTTGTTTTAGTGGTTTCATACAATCAGAAAAATATCCATTTCATACATACATACATATTTGTCACGCCTTTCTCCCATTAGGGTAGGCAGAAACAATGTAACGCCAAATGCTTCGAATCAAACAAACCTCCTTCGCTTCCTCCACATTTATCAATCTTTTCATACACGCTCACCGGTTACAGGTACTTTTAAATTGGCCCTCCTTCAGCACGTCGCCTATTTGGTCAACATACGTCAGTCTAGGGCGGCCCCTACCGACATCTGCATTCATTCTTGCTCGATAAATCTCTTTCGTAATTCTTCTTTCATCCATCCTCTCCAAATCTACCAATCCATTTCAATTTATAATGTTAAGATCTCGAGCTACACTAAGGAATTAAATATACACAGTTGTTAGTTAACAATGTGTCGATAGCATACTGCTGAGTAATAGGAAATAACGATACTGGCGCGTTATCCGTTTATCCAGTGCGATAAATATAAATGTAAAAGTAAATAATAGTAATTATTGTAATCGGTTAAAATATTTATCTATAGGCTGTAATGATTGCTCAATATGTTGTCCAATGTTATATAATTGAGTAGTCACCAAACAAAATTGGACACGAAATACTAGATGGCACTAGAATCGAGTTTTGTGGTTTTTGTTAATTATTTTGTAATTGAAGATAATTTGTGGTAAAATTCCTAAATTGGCGAGTGGTTTTATTTATTTTTTATCGATATAGTAATTGTTTATCACAACTTCTGTCTTTATTCTTATGTATTGTAGAACATTGTAAAAAATCACACACATAAGCAAGAAACAATGCAATATTGTGTGTTATAATTCATTCACGAAAAGATTACATATTAATTGTTACTTCACATTCATATATAATAATAAAAATCACTCGCCAATTTAGAAATTTTACTGTAGTTTATCTTTAATTACAAAATAATCAACAAAAACCACAAGTCTCGATCCTAGCGCCATCTAGTAATTTATGTTTAATTATATTTAATGACCAACCTTAAACATTGTACTATACGAGATTATACATTATCCGCTGTAATTGAAAAACCCAATTTGGGTTACCAATACCTTTGTAACGTGAAAAGGACATGGCTACTAGTTCGGACACGTGGAAACAATAGGGTCGGATTCTGAATGGATAGAAATTTAAATTTATTTTAAAAGGCTTGGATTTCAGAAATAGGTAT